AAAAAAAAAAAAAAGTTGGAAAAAAAAAAGACAACATAGTGAATATGATTGATCTTGACAAACACGTTGAAGACTGTTAAAGGAATCCCCTGATATTAGAGGGGGAGATTTCTGGTTTTTAATATAAAATATGTTCTCTTTAATTTCATTTACCTAACTTTATTAGATATTGCAACATCCCAGTTTTGATGGAACCTGTCTGTATATTGACATTTCTCCCCTAAGTCATCATAAAGAACCACTTGTCTGGTATATGGTCAGATCAAATGCAAGAACCAAGCAGTTGCCTTGAGTTTAGTTTTATTAATAAAAGCTGAAATAATAAAAATAAATTAATTAAATGAGAGAAAGAGAAAGCAAACAAACAAGCATAGTGGCTGGATTTGGTTCCTTGGGCAGGGCATGCATGGACTGGACAGGTTTCCAGTCAGGACCCAAAGTGGGCTGGTCAAATGTTGGTCCAGGCTGCCGAGCAATTTAACAACTGCTTCTCTCTTAATCTATAGCTTTTCTTTAAAAACAAAACAAAACCTTATTTTTTAGAAGTAGTGTCCCTCTCTCTCCATATCCTTATCCTCTAGCTTCATCAAACCCTTTCAGGAATTTGGGGGTAAAATCCAGGTTCCAATAGCCAAAGTATGGAAAGAGCCCAAATGTCCACCGATGGATGAATGGATAAAGTCAGGCCACCAGATTGTGGAAACGGTGGAAACTATCTCCTTCACAGTGGACATACTAGAAACTCTTCTTAATTCCTGTGTAAATCTGGGCATCTGCAGGATACCAGTTATAGAATCAGTCTTCTTTTTTTGGTTAATATCTTTGTAGAATGTTAAACATCTTTCAGCTAATACCAATTTATTTGTTTGGTGCTTAGATACTTTTCTCTGAACTTAGTAAAATTAACCAATCCAACTTTGGCCATCCCAGGCAGATGAAAATAATTTATGGCTCTTGTGAACATGTCTGAGTGTTATATTTTACTTACCCAATAAAATGGAGATCTCATGTGGACCCCTGGTTATATAGGACATGGAGACAAACAATTGATTTTCCAAAAGAAGAGGAAGGAAGAAACCTCATGCCAGACCCCTATCATTTTTAGTACAGTAGACTTCAAAGTGTTTCATGAGAGTACTTGAACTATAACAGCTTAAGAATTTGGTATACTGGAAAGGCAATTTGAAGATTTTGAATCCTGACTTCCCTTATTGTGTTATCTTGAGTACATTTCTTCAATTCTTACATATGAAATAGAAGTAGTATTTACTACCTTATTGAGGACAGGGAAGATTAAATGAGATAATACATATAAAAATGTTTAGTCAGATATAAGGGGCTTGTTAGTTTTTTTCACTCATTCATCACATATTTCTTGAATGCCTGTTCTATGCATGCTAGGCACTGTGCCAGGCACTCAGAATAATGAGGTGAACAGATCACATGTGGTCCCTGCCCTCATGGAACATATGGTTGAATACTTATTTGCAGTTGTCTGTGGTTTGATTAGTCCATACTAGGCATGTGCCCAGATGAGAGAGAAAAGAACCAGGCTGTCTACTCACTTTCTGCCTTCCTAGCTGGCAGAGATGGAAGAGGAACTACGTTATGCACCTCTGTCTTTCCGTAACCCTATGATGTCTAAGCTTCGAACCTACCGGAAGGACCTTGCTAAACTCCATCGGGAAGTGAGAAGCACACCTTTGACAGCCACACCTGGGGGCCGAGGAGACATGAAATATGGCACATACACTGTAGAGAATGAGCATATGGTAAGCCTTAGCTGTGTTTTTTTTTTTTTTTTTTTTTTTTTTTTTTTTATCTCAAGGGCCTGTGGCACAAAAATTAACCATGTCGTCGAGTACAGTTTATGTTATCAGTGTTTATTGAACTCTTATTCTTCCCACCTTATCCTCTTTCCTGCATCCAGTTCCCCTCCCGCCTTGGGGTAACCATCTCTCCTGTATTTTTTTGTTGTTGTTAAATTTTTTTTTTTAACATTTATTCATTTTTGATAGTGAGAGAGACAGAGCATGAGCAGGGAGGGGCAGAGAGAGAGGGAGACACAGAATCCGAAGCAGGCTCCAGGCTGAGCTGTCAGCACAGGGCCCGACGCAGGGCTTGAACTCACAGACTGTGAGATCATGACCTGAGCTGAAGTCGGATGCTTAACCAACTGAGCCACCCAGGCGCCCCTCACCTGTCTTGTTATTTAAGGCAGATCTTTACCAACCATGCTTAGATTTCTTTGTATCTTTAATAAAACAGTGCTTGATATATAGTGGAGGAATACAAGAGTTCCCTTTTCTTATTGTATCTGGACTTTGTATTCTGACCCATAAATCCAGTTTTTTCAGATATGCTCAAAAAATTCAGTTAGGTTTTTATCAGGATAGCCCACGCTTTCAGGAAGGGGCTCACAGCTTACTTAGTTGTAATAGAAAGTAAGCCAGACTGCCTCTCTAGACCCCAGTATTCTGATTTATCAAATTAGACTGACAGAGTTGAAAATCTATATTCTGAAACTATCTAGAGAAGTTAAAGGAGTAAAAGTTTACAAAGACTAAATGTAATGTGTTGCATTTGGAATTATATTCCACTGTGCAAAGTAGAAATGGCCTGGCAGGTGGCCTGGCCAGGAGCATGGGAAAGAAATGGCGGGGCCTGTAAGTGCAGATTACATGTGTGTAGAAAGAATCCTGTTTGATGATGCGTCCTGACTATAGTTGAAGAGTTCAGACGATACTGGCCTGACATTTACTGGTGTCAAACTGGAGTATTTGAAAATGATATAAACGTTTCAAAATTCACTTGTAAAGGGAGACTGGGAAAAGGCAGATAGGTGAAGCTTGTTAAAGTGAAATGAGAGGTATAAAGTGATTTTGGTCATTTGTTACCAAAAATAAACCAACAAAAAAAGGGGGGGAGATAAAGCCAAACAATAATTTGCTTTAAAATTACTAGTTTCAGAGTCATAAAAACAATTTAAATATACATACCACCTTCATTGGAATTACTGTTCCAGACCTCGAGTTGATTTATGTGATCTTACTGTCTTTTCCTTCTCTTCAATCTAATCAGTTAAAAATATCCATCTTTCATTTAAAAAAAAAAAAAAAGCCTTATTCCTTATTCCTACTTCTTTTGAGCTGAATTAACTGGGATTAGTTTCAGTGACATTCAGTGGTTCCATCATCCACTGGCCTGTATGCCACATATGAAAACTTCTCATCTAGAAACCCAATATTTTGGCTGCCTGATGGTGGCATCAGTAATAGGCCCTGTGAACCGGCCCCTTTCTGAGTGGTGCATGTATAAGTGCTTTAATAGCTAAGAACTTAACTGTTCCTATTTGTCGGTGGTTAATTCTGGCTGACAATGGCTACTTCTGTCATCATGCCTTCAGTGCTTGGGATTATAGGTGGAGTAAAACTTTGGCAGAGATTTAGGAAATTAGGGCACTAGGGAAATTAGGGCAGCTTACTTGGCCCCAGATAACTCCTTCTCTGAGAGTAGTCACCAGTGTGGCAACTTAAGAGTTTATGTTTTGTATGGCTGAGGTGAAATTCTTTTGGGGCTTACCAGGATTGTAACCAGTTAAATGTTTTCCAAAATGTAGTAGTGTCACAAATCATTTTGAAGTCTGAATGTACTAAAAATGAATAGCTTATTCATGGTGCATTAGTCCTCAGTACCAGTCAGGTGGGAATCTTCAGTGAATTAATCTATTTCTAAGGCTATGGAATTTAGTTGGTTTGTTGTCCTGTCAAAAGTTACAGGCTATACGCATATTCAGATAGCTCCTGCACCCCACATCTGGGCCACTGCCTCTCATAAATTGTTAGTCCAGAAAGTACATGAAATCATTGCAACCTCATCACAAACACAGGGAAAATGCTCTGTTTTTAACCTCCTTTTCTTGCATCACAAGTATAAAACCAGTGGAGTGAAAGGTATGTCATCTTGTATTGGATTCCAGGTGCTTTCATCTGACCTTGAATATAATCTTATAGTTGATTAGCATCTTTGTTTGTCTTAAAAGTAATGAGGGGCACCCGGGTCGCTCAAGTCTTTATTTAAAAAGATATTTTTTAATGTTTATTTTTTGAGAGAGAGGCAGACTGCAGGCGGGGAAGGGCAGAGAGAGAGGGAGAGACAGAATCGGAAGCAGGCTCCAAGCTTTGAGCTGTCAGCACAGAGCTTCACACGGGGCTTGAACCCATGAACCGTGAGATCAGGACCTGAGCCGAAGTTGGACACAACTGACTGAGCCACCCAGGCACCCTTAGTGTCCAACTCTTGATTTCGGCTCAGGTCATGATCTCATCGTTCCTGGGATCAAGCCAGCCCCGCTTTGGGCTCTGCAGTGACAGCATGGAGTTTGCTTGAGATTCTCTCCCCAACTCTCTCTCCGCCCCTCCCCCACACACTGTCTCTCAAAATAAGTAAACATTGCACACACTATATCCCTTCTTACATCAGAAGGGTCATAAGGAATGTGCTGGCAATGAATTTATGATGGGAGATGTTTAATATTTCCGTTCCATTTTCTGGTCAGAATCGGCTACAGTCTCAAAGGGCATTGCTTCTGCAAGGCACTGACAGCCTGAACCGGGCCACCCAGAGTATTGAGCGTTCTCATCGGATTGCCACAGAGACTGACCAGATTGGCTCAGAAATCATAGAAGAGCTGGGTGAGCAACGTGATCAATTGGAGCGTACTAAGAGTAGGGTAAGTCTGAGTGGATGGGGCAAAGTAGGTGGGCCCTTTATATCCTGATGCCTTACCACTGCCGGAAGTTACAGCAGTTCTGAATTCAGGGTCAGGACCTTTTAAGCACTTCAGCTTTTCTCAATTTTTAATTTTCTTGGTTGAGAGAGTTCTCTTGAAAGTTTTTTACCCCTCAGATGTAGAGGTCATTGGAGGGGCCAGGGTGGAGACGGAAGAAACACAATTTCTGTATTTATGGAAGATTGTCAACTAAATCTAAGACTGTAGCCACTCCATCCTTTTATTAATTCCTGTATTACCAACCTGAGATTTTTCTCATACATCGAGTAGGATATTATCCCGTTCTTATGAAAGCGTCATCTACTTAAAAGATCCTAGGGTTTTGGGTTTTTTTTCTCATTTAGAGCCAAGGCTGTTTTCCACATGTCATAAAATAGTACCACTAACAATTTATAGAGGGGGTCAGTCCTAGACTATGACTCTTTCCTGTTACCCAAGGTAAGCTGGATCATTGTGGGAAGAAAACAGAAACAACTTAGACCAAATGCCTATATCAATGGAGTCTCTATCACTCTTAAGAGGTTCTGAAAAACTCATTTCTCCCTTTCCATATACCTGCACAGAAATTTAAAAAATAGTGCAGCTTGCCAGTAGAATGTTATATCCTTAACGTTAAAAGGCACATCCAAATTGAATAGATACTGTGGGCAAGGCTTGGATGGAAAGTATTAGCTCAGTGTGGGGATTGGAGAGGATTTTCTCATATCCTAATAGCTGCAATTATCCCCATTTTTAAAGTAAATCAGAATAATGCCTTTCCATCCTCAGTGAAAATTCACAACTACTGATTTCAAGGTAAACTGTGGAGAAGACAACTTGCTTACATATTGTATGGTTTTTGACTTTTGAAAAAAGCAGGTGGATTGGTTGAATTTAAAAGCTGTGGAATGAGCTGAGATCAACTTACCATGGCCACTGGGGAATGGGAACAGATGGTAGGTGGCATCTGTTAAAATATCCCCCAGCTATCTTGATTATCAACAGGCAACCAAAGGGAAATGATTTTTTTAAAGGCTTTTAAAAGATTAATTCCTTTCACAATTCAGTGCATCTGTAAAAGTGGTAAAGAAAAAATGAATCAGATCCCAAAAGTGGTAATTGACCAGCCTACAAAAACAAATACTAACTCAAGAGGCCCTCCTGGAGTTTGGTTGATGAAATTCAAATCTTAAGTTGCTTCACAGTTACTGGTGAGGCACACCTGAAGCTTTTTTCTGTCTTGAGTAGCCAAGGTGAAGGATTAGCTTGGCCCCAGGAGTCCCCCACAGTAACCTTGGGACATAATAATTCCTAAGCCTGCTTGTTGAGTACTAAAGTATCTTATCCTTGCCAGTTTCTTCTACTTGTACTCAGAGGCCATCATTCAGATTGGTTTGATGGGGTTTTTCAGCACACACCCTTTAATGCCCACTGTCAGTTTAGGAATGTTCAGGTTCTACGGTATCTACTTTTAAAAGGGGGAAATAATTGCTATTTTCTCTTCTCAGCTGGTAAACACAAGTGAAAACTTGAGCAAAAGTCGAAAGATTCTCCGTTCAATGTCCAGAAAGTAAGTTTTAAAAAGTCACAAAATTTCTCCTACCTCTAAGACATTAAACAGTGACTTGCAAAGGTCCTGATAAAGCAGAAAGAATAAAGTATTATCTTGTATAAATATCCCAGGACAAAATTCTTTGTTAAAATTATATGCTGCTCTGACTTGGAGCAGTCAAAAATTTGTCCACTTTTAATCCCAGTTTACATTCTTCAGAGCACATGGGAGTAATAGAGCTTCATGTTCCTTGAAATATAGTTGTATAAACTTGGTGAGAAAACTGTTTTTACAGCTACTGCTTAGTAGTTGCTTTTGGCTCTGCTTGTCCTTCATGGAAGTAAGCCCCTTATCAGGGAGTTCTGTCCTGTTAGCAAGAAGTTGACTTAAAAAAAAAAAACCCTAGTGCACTAAACAAAACTACAACCTAGCCAGGGAACTAGTAGAGTGAGATTTTCCTAAACAGTGGTAAATGTCTTGTCAAACCAGAGGAAAGCTTCAGTTAGAGTTGCCTTGAAGAACCAGAGATTGCATTCTTTGTGTTAACAAAAGGTAATATAACAGCTTCAAAAAGTTTACTGCTTTTATAAAGTATCCTTTTGGGTTAATGGAGGAAGAGAGTAGTTAGATAGTGGTATTATATTTCTGCTATTTTGAAATATTCAACCTGATTTCAGAAATAATTTTTCAGGGTGACTGGCTGGCTCAGTTGGTAGAGCATCTG